ACCAAACAATTACTACGTGTCTTTCTAAAGGTAATGTCAAGTGGCGTAAATATTTAAACTTAAAGGTGAAGCCTAGTGGCTCAAATGTTGAAACTTATAATTAAATTCAAGATGCATAGAATCGATGTTTCATTTGAGCTCTCACCCTACTTAAGGTTGTCCTTGTGGACCACCATCCCTCCAATGAGAACGGTCGTCGCGATCCGTTTATTGCCAAGCCTGCGGTTTCTTTTTATTAGGACTTTTTCGCCTACTTCAAAGACTCTATTCTGTCGCTGGTCGTTCTGCCTAACCCATTTAGTGCATCTTGTGAACTTCTTAACTTTGCTGATATTTCCCCTTCAGGTTCGCCTGAGGGCACATGGAGGGTATAAACAGGTCTCTTGTTGATGACCGAATATATTGTCTTGTTATAATCAATCGAGGCTAGCATTATGACTTCGACTGAGTCACTGATGTTTTTCTCCAGCTTGAGGCAACGTGCAGGCTCGGCTAGGGTGCTATGGAAACGCTCGACTTGGCCATTGGATATGCTATGCAGCTGCGGCGCATTCACAATATATACTTCGTAGTTGTTTAACAACAGGGTTTTTATCTTTTGAGAATTCATCAAAGAGTCGTTGTCGCTATAAATTGTTCTGGCTCGTGGAAAGAAATTTATGAGCTACAGTAGTGGAGCTTTTAATTCCCCGATAGTGCGCGATTGAATTGGTTGTACGACTCAAATTTAGTGAACCTATCAACACAGGTCAAAAAAATTTGTTTGTCCCTGGAAAATATATCAATGTGTAGAAATTCCCCAGGAGTCTCAGAGATCGGAGTTACTCCCTACTCCTGTCTTTTCGGGTGCCTACGTTTTTGGCTGCTGAGCAGATTCTATAACTTTCCGCAATTTCCTTAGCCAACTTCGCTATTTTATGGAAATAGTATTCTGATAACAATTGCTTAACATTTTCTTCAGCTGCTCTGTGCGCTCTATTATGTTCGGCAACGAATTTCTCTCCTCTCGTCAACGATGAAGCACTAACCAAACAACATATAGACTGGACATGAGTACCGGATAGTAGACACAAAATGTATTGGAGACATCTGGTCCAAACTCGTGAGTAAGGGAGTAAGATATACATATGATATATTTTTAAACCGCTAACTCTACACGAAAGTGCTTGGCGCACTCTCTTCCATATGATTTGTGCGATAGAACGGCAACGCTGTTAACTTTTATCTCGCTCGCACATACTCTCAGCTCTCGATGCTCTCTCTTTATGTTTAGGGATCGTTTCAATGTGTGTGTGTATGTGTCCGACAAGCAAAACTGCGCAAAACTTCAGTTTTTCCAAATGCTGAGGCATTTCTACCCTTTTGAAGTGACGGCTAATATGAAATAGAAAAAGGGTTTGCCACGTCGATGCGAAATTCTTTCATTTTAGCTCGCTAATATTTTGGACTCGCTATTCACGCATACTTGCATATTTTGTATATGAATAGACGCATTTATGCGCTTGTGTGCCTGTTGCTTGCCTGCCTGCCTGTCCCCGATGCAAATTTAACAAGATTTTACGATTTCTTATTTTCGACCTCTACACATAGACACACACATACAAGTGTTTGTGAATGGGCTGATCATGGGCGCAAAAGAAAATACATTATTGGCACGCGTCTGATAAGAAATCCTAAAATCTTGTAAAAATTGCATAGCTGTGGATTGTGGCTGCGCAGGAATCAGTATTCAGCTCGTCAAGAGCGTTGAGCTGTTGTCCCGATAGCGCATCAGCAACTAAATTCTCCTTGCCTGGTTTATAAAATATTCGCGCATTCGTTTCAAACTATAGCCACAAGTTCCCGCTCGTTGGTGGCGTTGTTCACCTCCGGGGGTTTCAATGTTCTGGAAATCATTGAGATGGGGCGACCCTCTTGAGAAAGCACTGCCCCTATGCCGTAAGCTGAAGCGTCGGTCGTTAGATCAAACGGCTTCTTAAAGTCAGGGTATCTGAGCATGACGTTTTCTGATGACAAAATGTTGCGAAGCTTTTGGGATGCGTGACGCTGAAGCTCAGAGAATTCTAACGGGATATTTCACGATCTGTGTTTACTTTCTGACCCATTCACGCCCTTTAGAAGATCAGAAATAGGTTTGCTATTGAAGAAAAGTCTTTGATGAAAAACCTTAAGTAACTCGCCAGTCCTAAAAATGATCTGATCTCGAATATATTCATTGATTCTGGGAACTCCTGAATCGCTTTTACACGAAACCAAGAAAAGAAAAAGAAGAAGCAAACTTGACATATAGTGTATCCCCTAGTCGGGAGCTCCCGACTAGAACCTCTTCCTTGTTTAATATTATTTTTGAGAATTTTTCCCAATTAGTGTCAGAGAGTTTAAGTACTCACAATCTTAAAAGCCTCATGTGCCAAAATAAATAATCAAAACAATTTAAAGCCCCACAGAAAATTAAAGAAAAAAATGTTAAAAAACACGAACCTCAAAAAACAAAAATTTGCTGAAAACTCTCCGCTGGAAGGCCTTTCATCAAGGAATACTTGTAAGTCTGTCCCTTTTGTTTTGATTATATTTTCGTATTTTTGGCATAGATAAGCACAGCCAGAGAATTCTATTTCACGATCTGTGTTTACTTACTGACCCATTCACGCCCTTTAGAAGATCAGAAATGGCTTTGATTTTTGATAAAAATGATCTGATCTTGTATATATTCTTTGGTTCTGGGAACTCCTGAATCGCTTTGACTTTTTCAGGGTCCGTTGTAGCTCCCTTACTGGTTACCACGAAACCAAGACAACCTACGCCTTTCTTAAAAAAATGCGATTTTTCCTTGGAGATTCTCATATTTTCTTCGTACAGGCTTTTTAAGACCCATTCTACATGTTGGATATGAGAATTTTCGTCTTTTGAGAAGACGATGACATCGTCAACATAGACATAGCAAGATTTGCCAAGTTGCTTACGCAGTACGCTGTCAACAGTTCTTTGGAAGCTGCTGGCCGCATTCTTCAACCCAAGAGGAAGTCGACAAAATCCGTTCTTCCCCCCGTTAACTGCAAAGACTGTTTTTTTACGGTCACGCTCTGCTAGCGTGATCTATTGATAGACGGATTTTAGGTCAAATGTTAAAAAGTATTTAGCTTTGCCAAGATTCCCCAAAATCATTGGAATGTTAGGCATAGGGTATCTGTCTGTGAAGGTTTTCTCGCTAAGTTTACGAAAATCAATAACGAGGCGCATATTCTTGTTACCCAACTCGTCCGTCCCCTTCTTGTCCACCGCCCAAATGGGGTTGTAGGGGGAAACAGATTGGTTAATGATACCGTTCTTCAGAAGGCTTTGAATTTCTTTATTAACGAATTCCGCTGGTCTAATGGGAAAGGAATATAGTCGGACATAAGCTTGTGGTTCATCAGTGGTCCTCATAGTGTCCACCACTGATGTGTTATAGGGAAGTACTTCTTCCGGATCCGCAAAGACCTTATGTTTACTTTGTAGGCGAGAAGAAAGACAAAGTGACACTCCTGCTTGCGTGAGCAAGTCGAGGCCCACAATTCCATCAAATGTGAACAGGTCTGGGAGTAAGAAAAATATGGCAGTTTTGCCGAACTGAGATATAAGGCACTTATGAGTAATCGTCGCGGTGCCTTGTATAGAATGGGTAGAGAAGAAAGAACTAACGGCACATACCGTTTAGATTTTTATATGGCCTGATATAATGCTTGAAACCGATCGTGTTGATGAGAAATCTCATCTGGATCCCTGCTACTGTCCTACTGATGTAGGGCAGCAGGAAGCTTCCACTAAAAAATTGAGCGTGTCTAAGTCATATTTGCTGTTCTGCTGCTGCTGCAGGCTCGTGAGCTGTGTGATTGACTCTCTGCCTCCTTTGTCAGCTTAAGCGCCCAGACGTGGCCGTTTTTTTAGCCTTGAGGAGCGCTACAGTTAACGTAGGCTGGTGCCTGCGATTGATGTGGAATTTTTGACATAGATGGATCGACGTCCATTGGTTCCTGTGACCTGCCACCTTTGTTCCACCTGCCACTCTGTTCCTGAAATTGACTTTGTTGGTGTTGCTATTGTTTAGTCAAGTAAGGATTTTTGAAACCGCTGGGTTGCGGATCCCCCTGCTGTTGACCCCTATCTAGCTGACGGACCTGCGGCCTCGGGGTCACTTTTCATGCCCTATCTTCTTGCCCTTTAGCGAAGCTAGCGGCAAAGGCGTACCTCTTGCGCTGGTGCTAGGTGCCGACGGTAAGTCCTTAGGCTTTGCCGCAAACAGGACTTTCGTCAGGCTACGTTTTAGGCCTGAGACAAAAGCACGCAACGCATCATCACTGAACTTCGTACATAGCGCTTGTGCCATGCTTGGTTCAAATCATATGTTGACCTTATTGGTAAGAAGAGTAGGCTTTTTCTCAACCTCGTTATAGTATTGTAAAATTGTTAATGAGCTTAGTGTGCTCATCTCTTTCTCTATGACGTGAATGCCTCTCTTATCCCTGTATGTGAAATAGAGATGGTTTATTATGGCATCCAAATTCATTACTGTGCCAAACTGACCCAAAACACCATCAGCTGTCCGTCTAATTTTTCTCTTAATAATTATGACCGCCTGGTAGTGGCGTGAGCTGCCGTCGTATGGCTTGTAAATTTTATCGCAGGTTGTCTCCAAGAGGCACACCAGTAAATTTTGGTCAATTGCCTGGACCGGATGTGTTTCTATACTACTGGCAGATATTCTGTCTGTCAATTCTTGTATCCGAGTGCCTAACGAAGCCCTCAGTTCTGTCTCTCTTTTCTTCACAAATGCGCTCCGTGCAGTTAAGGCGGAGGTCACTGCGGCCTGCACCAAAGCCCTAAGCTACTCATGCTCCATTCCCATTTTACACCTATCGTCAGCGATTTCTTGCGGGACGGCTTTCCTACCTAAGGTGGTTGAGGCGTCTGACTCAGATCCCCTCGCAGAGCGGTCTCTATACCTGATAAACGAACTGTTCATTGACTATACTGTCAACAATAATAAAAACACAGTTTCAAGGGCCAATCAACAACAGTAAATTAAATGAATGCTTACAGAGGAGAGTTCATTAAAAATTGCTGATGGATGCAAAATTGTGTTGCACAAAGTAAGTTGGAATAAAAATTACTGCAATTTTTTATATTTCTCACTTAAGTATTTTTGGATTTTATTTTAAATAAATCACGAAAAAAGAAAAATAGTAAAAAAAAAAATGGTCCACTTATATTTTATTTGATCCTACAAGGGTTGTATACTCTACGTCTAAAACTACTGCTACCCACGCTGCAGTCGCGAATGCTTTTTATGATTCCTCGCTGAGGTCTATGGGTGTTGGTTTACTTCGCTGCCCAAACCCGCTTGCGCGTTGGTTTGGTGACAAATCGCTGCCCGAAGAGCTCCAGCGGCTTCGGCGTATCAAATGGCTTTTCATTGGGCTTGTGCCGCTGACGTAAATCTATATAGGTCAGCTTTTATTGTCTGCACTGGTAGGTTGGGTATTGCTATTACACGGCGCGAAGTATCTTGTACTGGTAAATTAGTTCTTAACACTGCACAGCACTCTAAATAATTATAACACAAAATGATCCGAAAACGTTGGGCGCCAACCAAGATTGAAACAAGAAGTCTTTGCGGATTTTCGTTATAAGACTTTATTTTGATTATTTTATTATTTGGGTAACACAAAATTAATAAATGATATATGGTTTATAAAACACTAGGCCGATACGCCGTAACGAGTGAATTAATGTATGCGCGAAGTCGCTGGGCCGATCTGCCTTGGTGAAAGCCGGATTAAAAACTAAAATTACAAAAGATTGATCAAAATTACCTAAGCTATTGTGTGCTTAACATCCGGCCCAGAGCTATGTTAGCATCTGTGGCTGGAGTTTTATTGCATTTTGCTGACCTATGTTAACTCGTAAGAGCATCCGGCCCTGTGCTATATCAGCATCTGGAGTTGGTGTCGTTGGCCTCTGTTAACTTGTACACGCACACATTCATGTGCATCTGTGCATATGGGCCAGTGTCAGTTGAAAGAAAATTATTTTTCAAATTGTTGTTTTATTGCTTGACGAAACGAGTTCATTCCTACATGTTTGTAAAAATTAATTTCATTAATTCAAGTATTCCTGAATAGAGTACCTGGACTTATTTATAAAAGTTTTAATTATATTTTTTTATTTTAGTTGGAGCCCATTAGAAGACAGGCACATAGCTGAAACAAGATTAAATCATATATTCATGTTATTTGGAAAAATTCAGTGCTTTTCAATGGATGTTATCGGAAAACAGGTTATTTTTTTAGTGATATCGAAAAAAATCGGTTGATATTTATATTATTTTGCAGATAGGACCCGCCTACGTTCATCTCGTTTTGCACTCCCCCACATTTGGAAATTTTCAAATATTTCAAACCATTACTCCAGTAGAACCACTATTACAAAAAGTAGTACACAGATTTTACGCTTCCCGATTCATGGCACCAATTATGAAGTTTATAATTTTTGGAGAAACCGTTATGGTATGTAAATTATTTCCAAATTTTAAACTACATAATAAAATTACAACTTTTTTTTTTAAATCAAGTTTGAGCGGGATTTGAATATATGGAATCATAAAATGTACCGGAACAACCCTATGCTTCTAATGGAAGAATCCTCACTAAAAAAATTTAGGAAATGGTATGCACAGTTCTACACGGTAAACAGTAAATCATTTCAATTAGAAACCAATACAAATTGGTAGCAAACAAAAAAAAAACAACAATTATACCGACTATGTCAATATCTTAAAATAAATTCAAAACTATTGGATTACAAAAATATCTGTTTTGGTTGAAGTAAGCATGACGAAAAAATTAAAACGGATCCTAAGCGGATCAACAGACAATCCCCAAGCGAAGTCTCATAAAATTCAACAGCATCACGTATGGAAGAGAGAGCGGAAAAGTAGGAAGGAGATACTTAAGATAATCCGTGCCTTTGGTTAATGATTATATATCGATTCGTAAAAATTCCTTGATTTAGTGGTTGAGATTTTCCTTGAACTTTTTTCTTTTGTTCTCCAAAGCTAACAGATGCGTGCCTTCAAGTGATATAAATTGCAAATAAATTTGAAAATAAAATAAAGTAATAAGTAAATCAATAGACAAGTAAGTAATGAAAAGAGTTTGTTTATATTTGGAAGGTTTTTTTTTATTAATACTTTTCTGTGCCTCCTCAGTAATAAAGTAGGTTTTTTGAGTAGGAAAAATAGAGAGTAAAGATTTCGGATTACTAACTTCTATAAAAATAGAAAAACGTCTTTGAAATGAAGAAGCCGCCAATATATTTGCTAGGCTCTGCATGTAAGACGATGCGCAGATAAAAATTATAGCGTTAATAAAATTAGTACAAAAAATGAAGTAGAATATAAAACACAATTAAATTGTTGTCTGTTATCTTGAAGAATTATTCAAGGATGCTATATCACCAGAAGATATTAACAAGTACGGGGTTCTAGTCGGGAGCTCCCGAAATTTTTTACAGTACATCTTATTATGCCATTGAATATTTGGGTATTCAAATTCAATTGCATTAAAATTGTGGCTCAAATTGGGCAATACAAATTGGATTCGTAACTTGATTTATAGCTCTGCGATGGTATCGGGGAGGTGGCAATAGGTGTAAAATTAAGGATACTTAATATACTTATTTATAGTATTCTAGAAGCAACATATCAAGTTTGGTGACTCTTGCTCTTAATATTTAACCAATTTGCTCAAAAAACAGGGTGTCGATATCGATTTTTATCGATTGCTTAGAAACGAAGTAAGTTACTAGATACTAGATCGGAAACAAACTCGATCTGCGCAGGCGCTCGGAGGACCTCCAGCTAAAAATTTCTATAGCTCTTATAGATTCTGATGTCTTTGCCTTCGTACATACGAGCAGACGGGTGGATGGTCAAATGGCCGGACGGACATACGGACGGACAGACAGACGGACATGGCAAGATCGACTGGCTATTAATGCTCCAATAATATATATACTTTATGGGGCGGAGATACTTTCTTCTGGATGTTACATATATTCGCACATAAACATAATACGTTTTTACCCATTTTCAATGGGCTCAAGGTATACAAATAAGACTCATTTACCATTGGAAGCAGCAACAAATCAACTGCAAAACAATAACAGTGCGCAGGAAACCCAATCTTTTTCTCGACGTCTGTTTTGCTTAACATTTTCTTCTGCTGCTCGGTGCTCTCTATTATGTTCGGCAACGAATTTCTCTCCTCTCGTCATCGTTGAAGACAACTGCAACCCGGTTTTTACAGTGCCAGAACTTGGTGCCTGGAAACATGCGAACTAAGGCATCCTGCACCTGTTCTAGTGTTTGCAGATTGCAATAGAGGGCATTAACTGCATTTGGATTAATCAAGTCAAGGAGTTCATCTAGAAGGGATGTGCGATCAGTGAAGCTCACTTCATGACGCCTCTTGTCCCCGAAAAGGATAAAGTTGCTTTGGTGGGGACGCGTGCCTCTTCAAAAACAATTTGATTTTGAAAACAATTAAGTGGCTTTTCTCATTAATTGACGCAATTGTATAGGTCAAGGATAGCTCGCTGTGGGCTGTGGCTACGCAGGAATCAGTATTCAGCTCGTCAAGAGCGTTGAGCTATTGTAGCGATAGCGCATCAGCAACTAAATTCTCCTTGCCTGGCTTGTAAAATAATCGCTCATTCGTTTCCTCAATGCGCGCCTTCCATCTTTTAATTTTGGCATTCGGGTTTGACCCAGAAACGGCAAAAATTAACGGTTGGTGGTCCGTGAAAATGTTAATGTGTTTTATCCCATATAGGTAGTGGCGTAGCTTGCTAAGGGCCCAAACTATAGCCAAAAGTTTCCGCTCGTTGGTGGCGTTGTTCACCTCCGGGGGTTTCAATGTTCTGGAAATCATTGAGATGGGGCGACCCTTTTGAGAAAGCACTGCCCCTATACACTAACTTTGCAAAAGGTTGATCAAGACTACCTAATCAATTGTGTGCTTTTCACAAACGCCGCTGGAATGCTTAGCTTGCGCCTCGTGCGCTGCCGTCGTCCAAAAACATCCGGCCCAGAGCTATGTCAGCATCTGTGGCTGGTGTTATATTGCATTTCGCTGACCCCTGTTAACTCGTAAGAACATCCGACCTAGTGCTATATCAGCATCTGGGGCTGGTGTCGTTGGCCTCTGTTAACTTATATGTTGTGGTAACTTATAAGTATATTCTAGCCATGTCCACCTGTCTGTTCGTCCGTCCGAGACTTAAGATTTTGAATGTTTTCTAGTGTTCGCGCAGTACGAGGTTGGTTGCGGTAGTCAATAACTTGCTCAGTTTCCAGGAAACCGCTATCGAAATAGTTCTTTTGAGCGTCTTTAATTTTTTAGCTATTGCCACTAGCCCTCTACCACCACATTGCTATAAATCATGTGAAATTACCATTTTGTATTGTCACCAATTTAATGCACAATTTTAATGCAATTGTCTTTTTGAGAATACACGAATATTCTATAGTACAATAAGATCTACTACAAAAAGATCGTTTGAGACACACTAAAGGTGTTGAAGAAAATGTGTTTTGGCTGCCCATAAGGTTGGGGCAGCTAGTGCAAAGAGTAAGAATATCTGTATTTACCCACATAGATTCACCAACGTATTTATTGAATTCTATCAACAGCATTGCAATTGTGATTTTATTTTAATTCCTTTTTTTTTCTCAATAAAAACTAATTGTTTCTTTTTGGCTGTTGAGTAGGAGTGGTGGCAAGAAGTGTGGCATGTTCGAGTCCTATTGCTTTATCTTTTTTTATACCCTGAACCTATACAAAATAGGTAAACGCCACTACGCAGTTATAAGACGACTACATGAACCTATTTGAACTACAGAACTTAAATTTCAACTTTAAAACAATTAAGAGGATTGGCATGAGGTGCGAACTGTTACCTGTTCGAATTGTTACCTTGTTACCTTGTTGAAGGAACTAATTTTTTATACCCATTCATATATTCCATTCAAACTGATTAACAAAGTTTTTATGGAGGTGCCAAATTATGTACGAGGTAGAAGGAATCATCTACGACTCCAAAAAATAATATTTATTGTTGATCAGCATCAATAGCCGAGTTGATCTAGTCATATCCGTCTATCTGTCCCTCCACGCGTAATGCCAGCTGTTAGTGGTAGTATTTGTATATCTTTTAGTATGTATTTATCACATCAGTTGCGAGGTTACTTTTGCCCTGGTTCGGAGTACGCCTTTTGGAATGCTGCTGAAGCAGCGTTAAGTATTCTTCACGCCAGCGGGATCAAAATAATAGTTGGAGATATTTTACGCGTTGCCAGCGATCCAGACGATTGAAGACTCAACGAACGATGAGCTGGGTCCACCAATCCAGAAATGAGCTGGAGTGAGGACCTCCATATCTGCTGGATCTTCTGAAAGAGAAAACAATGGCCTGGAGTTAATTATTGATGCTATGTGGCTGACTAGAGTGCGAAGCTCTTCGGAGTTGAAAACCCAAGAGCCAACAGCACGATAAAATGATGCTTCTCTGTCTTCACTGCTGGGTATAAATTTCCAATCAATGGATTCATCAGATTGCGACTGAATAGACGCTTGAACCTCAGAATCTTGTTCCTGGCGCCGATAAAGTTGGTAGAGTTATCCAACCATACCTGAGATGGGCTGCCTCGAGTTGACGTAAACCTCTATTTCAAAAGCTCGAGATTTCAAAAGGACGAGTCTTAGTAAGAGTTGGGTCCCATGTTGTATATCACATAATATTAGTCCAAGATGCCATATGTATATGGATTTATTAATATTATTAATATACGCTGCATTATATCAAATTAGTTGACGTATTTACAAGTTGCAGTTATATCAACGGAGGGAGATGACGCAATAACTTTTTTCTTTATTCTATGTTTGAGTTCTTTCTTTTTTGACAAGCGAGAAACAGGCCAGTCCAATTTGTTTCCAACTAGAAATTCTGGGCCGTTAAACCATTGTGGGGATTGATGTAATTCACTGGGTGTAGATTCTATCGAGAGTATATTTGCCGGGTTGAGCGAAGTAAGAACGTAGCGCCATTCTATGGCATTCGTTAGCTCTTGAACTGCAGTGACGCGATTAGCTACAAACACATTGAGCTTGCAGGGCTCGGTCTTTATCCAGGAAAGGCATACAGAAGAATCTGACCAACAGTAGAATTTTCCATCGAAGAGATTGATTTTAGATATCTCACGCATGAGATTAGATAGTAAGACGGCGCCACAGAGATCTAGCTTTGGAGAGGAGCTATACGCGATTTGGAACACAACAGCTGAAAACTGGCTAATGGTCGTCGAGAAACGACGAAGACACATGATCCATATAATTCAATGCTGGCGTCGCAAAAACCGTGAACTTCTAACTCTGCTGCAGATTAACACGAGACGAGCAAATTTAAGAAACTGTGCCTTTTCAAAACTGCAGCAAAGGTGTTCCCAGTGATGATGGCAGGCTCTCTTCCCACGCAAGTTTCTCATTCCAGATCTGCTGCAAAAAGTTTTTAGCCTTGGCGATTACCGGCCCTATGAGTCCAAGCGAGTCATATAAGCGAGCTATGATCGCCAGTATTGATCTTCTGGATGGTTTGGATCTCTACTGAATGGACTAAAAAGAAAACAACCTATCCGACGCTGAGTCCCAAGCGATTCCTAGAGTTTTGGTGATGTCGCTACCATCATCAAACTTTAGAGAAGATTCTCTTTCCTTCGGGAATCCCTTCCAGTACAACAGCATTGTTTGGGCACTACTTTCGGAACTTGAAGCGCCCACTTGCCACGATTCCAGCTGTCTGATTAAGAATTTCCTTCGCTTTTTGAGTTGAGTCACCCCCTGAAATGAGGTCATCAACGTAGAAGAAGCCGAGATCCAATTGAAAAGTTAGTTTCCTCATCCATGATAAGCTGATGCATAATACGACATATGACCAAGATCCAAGTATTCCTATAGAAAGTTTGAATATTGAATCTTCAGGTCTTGACGATTTTGTAGTTTGAGTTCCAGAGTCAGAAATCGATGAAAAGATATGACGTCCCACGATATTCCAAACTTCTCTTGAAGGGTAAACGAACTGAATATTGAAAACTAGGCTGACATGAGTCCTTACGAAATGTTCTTCACATATATTTTCTTCCTTTGAAGTGGTAGGTGTAATTTCCAAGCAGGATTCTATCTCCCAAAACCTTCGCACCCATTCATCAACACGTTCTTCAGGACTTGATTCGAGTTTTCCCACAGTGTGGTTTCCCATCAACGTAGAGACACCCAAGCGCGGTCCGCCTCCAGAAACTACCCAACCAAGCCGTGGTTTTTGAAGACACGGTAGCCCTGAGGGAAGCCCTATCTGGCCGACGCTGAGAAGATCGTAAAACAGGATAGCTCCAAGCAGCAAGTCCACGCATTGAAGTTTAAAGAAAGACGGATCTGCAAGTTTTATGTTATCGGGAATGTTTTAACTCGTCGTGTAAATAGTAAAACTCGGTTGACTATCAGTTATGTAAGGCACTACCTAAGCTCTGAGGCATGTTGAGCATTCAGAGACTTGAGATTGTATTGTGATAGTGACCGTATTTCCTGTTCTTTATTTCTGTTTCAAAACGAGAATCTCCTAAACTAGACAATGGTGTCTTAAACTGAAGCTGTTGAGCAAGGCGCGATGTTATAAAGTGAAGCTGAGAACCGGAATCCAAAAGACACGACAAGGTGTCAAAGCGCCGCAGTGATTTTTAAAGAAGACCGTAAATACTGGGCAACACGTGGAGGTTGATGGCGACGACTTAGCGAAAGAGGCATGGGCTATCGACGATGAATCAGCATGCACAGTTAGCTGACCAGACGGATATACAGAATTATTAGATTTTTTCACCCCGCAGGTGCGACAGCATCCAGAGCTGCATGATCGCAATTGATGGCCTTTCTTTGGGAATAGTCATTTTGCCTCTTCAAGCCGTAATGCTGTGGTCAATTTGCAAATCGGGAACAATTATATATACCATGACCAAGGCTGTCACAAAAGACGCAGACAGGGGTGTGGTGGTTAGTGGCGATAAATGACGATCTACTTGTGTTAATTGCTCTAGTTTTTTCCACCTGATGGCTAGGGCATAGCTTGCCATAGCAAAATTTACGGTTTCCATTGTTCGGCATCTCTGTAGCCATATGCTCCCACGATTGTATTAAGTTGACCAACGACGAATCTTCTAGCCACTTGGCTTGTGATATTGGGTCCAGTTTTTTTTCAATAAATTAAGTGCTATGACATAATTATCGTTTGTTATTTCCAATGATCGAACCTCGCCCAGCGCTGAATCCGATATCTGCTTGATCAGGATGATTTTCTATGACGGTTGTGTACATAGCATAAAATTCGGCCCATTCTGTGCAACCATCACTGAACGTAGGCAACTTTAGGGTAGTGCCGGCTGTGCCTTAGCTGTCGCTAACTGTCTGTCAGGCAACACAGATTGGTCGTGAAATGTTGAGTAATGCAATATTGAGACAGGTTTTGTGATTTCACTTCGAGCCGAAATTTCCACAGAAACTGCCAACTCGTCGAAGTCCTCATGCAATTGGTTACCAATTTCATCAGTCTAGTTCTTCGAGGCTAATGTGAGAAATATCAAATGTGGTCTAAAGTCGCTCAATTTGTTTCTGCCTAACACTAACACCGCATTCATCAATTGCGCTTTTTTGAGCTTCAGAAAAGTCACCCTGTTTGCAGAGGGGACTGCACTAGAGGCATTATTTTCGGTTGCCATTAGAAGCGTTAATAGAAAGCGTGTGCAAAACTAGCTGAGTGACTAACAACGGTGATCGCTAGTACATGCAAACCGTTCAAAGAACAATAGCTGTAAGAACTACGGCGAAAGCAAGTGTCAAGCTTTATAACGAAGCAACGGCAATAGCTTGTACATAAGTACCGCACGAATGAGCAAAAATTTTAAGCGACCGAAAGAGTAGGTAAAGCGACGGCTATCGCTTATAAGTATGCATATGAACTGCACAAAACGAAATGTCAGGATGTGATCTTTTAAGATTATTGCTTCGGGGTCACCAACTATTGCGCTATTGAGCTTTTTCAATACCTTTCACAAATAGATATAAATAACATTAATTTTTTTCTTGTGTTCCAATTTGTTTTTATATTAGTTAAAAGTTACGAAAAGCAGATAGCCCCGAATCGGTATGTGCTTAATATTTAAGAACAATGATTTTGCATAGGCGAGCGAGCCCGAATTGGTGCGTGCCAATTTGAGCGAAGCGACAATTGAGTAGTTATAGTTTTGAGTAATGCGATGTGGCGATGGGGCGATGTGTACCAAATGCATGAAGCGAACGAACTTAACTAACTCGCAGCATCGAGGCCTTCGCATAAGTAATGCAAGGGCAATAAAACGATCGTTACAGTGAAGAGCACAAGCTTAATGTAAATGAAATCTTAAGAGCGATCTCAGTTGCGAGATCGCTCAAGCAGTTTTGGCTGCGTAGCCAGACACGTATCCCTTAAGTGAAACACACATTTACAAAAAATAAAAGAAAAAATATAAAATTAAACATAAGTGAACATATTGCATTGAATAACACGAAAAATCTTTAAGAATAAAACTTAACGAATCACTTTGAAAGAATTTAACAAAAAATAAACTATAATATAATATCAGCGAACATATTTCATATAAGGATACAAATTTATTTTACGGAAACTAACCAACTTTTATAACTTATTAATTCAACTTCCTTTTTCGAATAATTCTGATATTTAACTGCTTTTTTAAATTGATTATCATTGTCACATTTTACATTTTTGTGTTAATATTTTAAACATCCCTATATCAGTAGAAAATAAATTAAAGAAGTATACCCTATAAGTAGTCGGTAAAGAATTCTTTGTATGGTTCACAATAAAACACTAAATACCGAAAAAGATGCAAGACGAATTGTCCAAAGCTATCAACTGCCTTTCCCTTGGGCCAAGCGCGGCCCACCGCGAGGGCAACCAGCTAGCAGCATTCCTATTGCTAAACCAGAACTAGGAGATGTTATAGTTGGTGTAATCCGAGAGACCCTCGAAGGAGGCGATCTGATAAGACAAGCTACGGACAACTCTGACATGGTAGATGTGTTGTCCGAAATCCAATCGCAAGGCCAGGTCCTGGAAGCGAACACGAGACCGTCCCAGAGATAACGCGATTAATTACGGAATTCTCCGGGAAAAGAACTATATTTAACTCCTGAAAGAAATATGTAGATCGCATAATGAGTTTATATGAGGGACGAGAGAGACTTATAAATATTAGTAAGTTACTCTACCTATACGAAACAAAATAGTCGGAGAAGCCGACGTAGTACTAGAATCATATATTACTCCCATGAACTGGTGGGCAATATCTGTCTGAATACCAAATGTTCTTTTTGGTACAAGGTCGAAAAATCAGGCAGTCCACTATCAGCTGTCTCTGATACTCAACCAAATAAGCTCGTAGGAAGAATCAGTGGAAACCGTGAGAGCTTTAGCAAAAAATGATCGAAATAAAGCCATGGATACCTTTGTACGTCGGCTAAATGGCGATTTACCCCACTTATTAGCTATTAAAAAACCGAGAGACTTGAGCCACGCACTTCATTTGTATGGATAAGTGAAAATCAGGAGGATAGGAACGCATTCATTCTGATATATAAACAGTAGGCGCCACCCTTGCCACCTAGGCAAGTCCCAAATCCAATAGTCACAAGACACCAAGGGCAAAGACCAGTGTTAGGGCAAGAATATGGTGTCCTACAACACAGCACAGAACTTCCGGAGCCACCGCGCCCACAGGCTCAAAACCCCAAGCCTAGATCGATTCCCATGGAAATCGATCCGTCTATTAGTTCCAAACATTTAAATGATATGAACAAATCTGAGAATAATGATCTAGCAGGAAAACGACCACCTACCGCAGCCTACACAGGACCCCCACAGAAATTCCAAAGGCAATTTAACATTGCCACTGGCAATAAGGAGCCGACCACAGACGGAAACGAGGTAGAATCACCTTATGCATTTGGTGTGAAGGAACAGGGATACTTCGAAACTATAGGACAAGAGGCACCTGGAGAACTGCCTAGTCAATATCAAGAGGACAATAAACATGCCCGTACCGGCAGATGCCTCAGACGTTGATTTCTTTGTTTTAATAGTCTCTTAGTTAAATAATCGCACATTTAGGCGAAATAAAGTATTTCTAAGTCATCGATTTAAAGAGCGGTTTCCATCAAATCCCACTCAATGAAAGGGATATTGAGAAAACGGCTTTGGCCGTAAACGGAGGAAAATTCGTATTCACTAGACTGCACTTCGGTCTAAGGAACTCGCCGTCCATATTTCAGCGCTGGCATAAAGTTAACATGAGAATTCAAATCGATAAATGCGAATACTTCAAAATTGATATATTGGGCTTCACTGTTTCAGAAAATGGCATTAAAAGAAAGTGAAAGCCATCAAGGCGTTCCCTGTACTTAAAACTCTGAAAGATTTACCATTTTTCTGGGTTTATCGAGCTATTATCGCAGATTCAACAACGGTAGATCTTCAAAGGACATCACAGCTAAAATAAAAATCACTCTGGATAATAAAGCGTTAGACTCGTTTGATAAGATTAAAAGAACACTAGCCTCCCAAGACGTGATACTCCGACTTTGGTAAAGAATTCCAATTGACAAGCGATGCTTCGAACTTCGCTATTAGAGCAGTACAGTACAGCAAACTGATCACTTTTATTTCCCGTACTTTTTCAAAAGCGGAAGAAAAAGAAATGCTGGCCATAGTTTGAGCTCTCCAGGGCTGGCGAATATATCTATACCGTACCGCTAAAGTAGTCATACATACTGACCAACAGCCTTTGAGCTTTGCTCTTATTAGCAAAAAACATTATGGTAAACTCATGAGTTGAAAAATTGTGAACGGGTTGTTCACCTCAGAAGTGGTTATGGGCAAGATACAAAACATATTCCTTTCATACTTCAGTTCAGTTATAAGGTCCGATATACGCAAAACTAGAAGTAGACAGTCAAAAATGAGGGGAACAATATCTTGACGAAAGAACACACCAGAGCACATAGAATCTCCATAGAAAACAAGATACAGATATTAAGTAGATTATTTTTCCCACATATTAAAAAGGAAACAGAAGCACTGGCAAACGCATGCGAAACTTGCAAAGAAACAGAATACGATAGACGACCACCATGTGGCGCAATCCAAAAAACAGCTATACCTTCGTACCTAGGTCAGATAATCCATATCGACTTGTTCATAACTCAGAAGAATCTAGTACTTACTGCCATCGACAAATTTTCAAAATACGCTCTGGTTAAAATACTTAAATCAAAGGCAGCTGAAAATTAAAAAAACACCTTACCGGAAATCATAATGATATTCGGCATGCCGCAACTAGTTGTCATGGATAACGAAAAGTTTTTGAATGCATCATCTATTAAATTTCTGCAGCAAGACCAGCTTAAGGCAACAGTTTCTACGACGCCGCCATACACATCTACCAGTACGGGCAGGTTGAGGGATTACATTCAACACTAATCGAAAGCATACGTTGTATAAAAAAAGGCGAGGGTATCGAAAATTTTGGAGATCTAATCTAATCAAAGCAGTTCAACTATATAATCAATCAGTACACTAAACAGTAAAAGGAAAACCAATAGATATATCTTCGGCAACCAAAATATTATTGATCCCCAACAAATAGAAATGCAAGGGCAGCAGATAAGAGAAAAATCATAAGAAAGCTAGAAAAAGGTCATAAATACCAAAATGTTAAAAAAAAAAAAAAAAAAAAAAAAAAAACAATTAAAGAACTATCACATTGGAGATACCATTTACATTAAAATAGACAAATGAATAGGTTGAAAACTCAAACCAAAATACAGAAAAGAAATAGAAGCATAAAACGGAAAAACCACCATTACTACAAAAAAACGGAAGACAAGTCCATAAAAATAATATAAACATGGGGCTGTTGACAATTTTAGACTACTCACAATCACAGCTTATTCCAATAAAAATGGGTTTAGCCGCAGTGCACAACGGCACCTTCAAAATTATCCATGTATTCGACACTGAAGAATACGAAAGAGTTTTCCAGACATTGGAAGATACCCTGCATGGTGTACGCCACACACCAGATATTCTCATTGCTCGAGTACGGCACTGAAAAATAAAAAAAAATGATCTACGCAGACTCAGAACCTCGCAAAGAGCGGCAAGAACGATATATGCGTTGGGAACAGATTGGAAATGGCTGGCCGGCTCGCCGGACCACAGTGATCACGAAATAGTAACAGAAATTAATGAGCAGTTAGAAAACAACATCAAACAAGTTTTGAAAAATAAAATATTGCAAAATAAAATCAACAAGATATGCGGAGTCACGAATGAGATAATTAATATAGCTTAAAATAAATAAAAATTTTAACGAAGAAAAAATTTCGGTACTTAAATTCAATATTCGAGTTTCTAAAGACGATTTAACAAATCTAGTTCATTCAATAGATTGGGCAAAAACAGAATTAGAGTCTAAACAATAGAAACAATTTAAAAAAAAAAAGAAAAAGTAATGTTCTTAAATACAGAAGAACTATTTGAATATGTTCAAATGATAATAGCAACAAATGGCAAAAGCCTACTAGCTATATAGCAACATTCAAAAATTTAATACAATAATCAAAATAAAATACGAAAACATTGTGAAATGTGGCCAAATGATATATGCACTGAAAGACTCTTGCGAATCTCATAACATATAATCATATTTAATAAGAACAATCCAATAGACTTAAGTAACCATACATGCATTACTGCACTTCTGAAAAGCCAAGCTCAGAATTGCAAAACGATCATTAGCCAACATCTTTTATTATCAAAGAGGAAAAGTACAACCACTAACCAAACAACATATAGACTAGACATGCGTACCAGAAGTAGACACAAAATGTATCGGTGGCATCTGGTCCAAGCTCGCGAGTAAGGGAGTAAGATATACATATGATGTATTTTTGAACCACTTACTCTACAGGAAAGTGCTTGGCGCACTCTCTTCCATATGATTTGTGCGATTGAACGGCAACGCTGTTAACTTTTATCTCGCTCGCACTTACTCTCAGCTCTTAATGCTCTCTCTATGTTTAGGGATCGTTTAAATGTGTGTGTGTGTATGTGTCCGGCAAGCAAAACTGCGCAAAAATTTAATTTTTCCCAAATGCTGAGGCATTTCTACCCTTTTGAAGGCACGAGTAATATGAAATAGAGAAATGGTTTGCCACGTCGATGCGAAATTCTGGCATTTTAGTTCGCTACCGTTGGTAAGGGTATCCAAGCGTTCCCATGTGTGCGTTTAAAATATTTTGGACTCGCTATTCACGCACACTTGTATATTTTGTATATGAATAGAAGCATTTATGCGCTTGTGTGCCTGTTGCTTGCCTGCCTGCCTGTCCCCGATGAAAAATTTAACAAGATTATAGGATTTCTGATTTTGGACATCAAAAATCTTAAAAAAGAAGGGCGCGCGTCAGACGCGTGCCAATAATGATATTTTCTTTGCGCCCATGATCTGTCCATTCACAGACATTTGTATCTGTGTGTCTACGTGTAGAGGTCGAAAATAAGAAATCCCAAAATTTTGTTACATTTGCATCGGGGACAGGCTAGCAACAGGCACACAAGCGCATAAATGTTTCTATTCATATACAAAATATACAAGTATGCGTGAATAGCGAGTCCAAAATATTTTAAATGCACTCATGGGAACGCTTGGGTACCCTTACCAACGATAGCGAACTAAAATGCCAGAATTTCGCATCGACGTGGCAAACCATTTCTCTATTTCATATTACTCGTGCCTTCAAAAGGGTAGAAATGCCTCAGCATTTGGGTAAATTAAATTTTTGCGCAGTTTTGCTTGCCGGACACATACACACACACATTGAAACGATCCCTAAACATAAAGAGAGAGCATTGAGAGCTGAGAGTAAGTGCGAGCGAGATAAAAGTTAGCCACGTTGCCATTCTATCGCACAAGTCATATGGAAGAGAGTGCGCCAAGCACTTTCCTGTAGAGTAAGCGGTTCAAAAATACATCATATGTATATCTTACTCCCTTACTCGCGATTTTGGACCAGATGCCTCCGATACTTTTTGTGACAACGTTGTTTGTATGTGATATCCAGTCTATATGTTGTTTGGTTAGTGGTACAACTCAATGACTTCGACGGAAAGCTGGGAATCGAAAAAGAAGAAATGGAACTCGAGCAACATATCTATTTCAGTTACAAAACTCAACCGTTGCCATAGGAGGTGAGTTGTATGAATCAACCGAGGTAGTCCTTGCAGAAGCCACACCACCCCTATTTAAAAAAATTGCACAAAAAACAGTCGACTCTCCTTGCAAATGCTAAAGGAGGTTAACATGAATAAAACCTTGAAGCTCGACACCCTGAAGAGCTACAACAACAATCAACTTTACGCTAATGAGGCGCAAGATTTTCGCTACATGACAGCAGATAACCATAGTAGTTGTGGAAGAAGAACCAGCGGCAGAAGCGAGCGTAGTTACAAATCAAAAACGCTTTTACATCGCATCCGAGGGCGTGTTTAAAGGGGGAAGTAAAATACGAAGTTAACCAAGAAGACATGCACACTCCCATATTATTACGGCCCCAATGCATGCACCTTTGACAGCGGTTTCCACAAAACAGCCCATCAGTTGGAGCGAAACATGCAATAGGACACCCTATCTAAGCTACAACGGAAACGACGACAATAACAAAGCTTACAGAAGCGACAGCGACAACTTCGGCAGCAAGAACAGCGGCAGCGGTGATACGGCAGTGGCGACAGCAGCAGCGGAGTTTTAACTTTAATATAATTTATACTTATAATTGAAAATTATTTCTTAAGTAGCACTACTAATAAACTGTTGTTTTTCAAAGACCTTAGGGAAAAAATTCCTCTTTGTATATGCAGGCTTTTGCACTATTAAATTAGCATACTTAATGAATGACGGAAACCTAATTTTTAAAACTATAAAAAAATTAATGTAGATTGTGAATAATATAATTTTTTGCAATTATGCAATAAAATTTACATGATTTTGGGGAACATAAAACATTAACAAAATCATTTAAAAGTGAGCGATTGCACGTGTTGATAATGAATTATTCGATGTGCGTCAAACTAGCGTCGGTGACTTAGTGTCGAGTTTTGGTACTTGTTATCGGAAAAGTATCTGTCATTTTTACATGCATTTATTTATGTTTTTAAGCACGCAACCAAATATATTGAAAATGAAGAATTGCAAAAAAAATTAAATTAAACCATAAAACTGGCTGGCAACATTACATATTTAACATTTGTATTCATAAATATTGCGGCAAAGTTTCATTTTGCATTTTTACATTAACATAGGGTATAATAAAAAAAAATTCGAATATCTTAATTTTCTTGATGTAAAAATCAAAATAATTGATAATTGGCGATCTATAAGTTAAGCCACCGTGCATTTGGGGCCATTATCAGAGAATTGATAAATACATTTTATTATATTACCGCCATTTTGATGTTTTGTTAAGTATGTAATGTTGTCAGCTAATTTTTTTTATTAACAAAGGGTATAATAAGAAATATGGAAAATGCAAGTAACTTCAAAACGATTTTCATGATGTGAAAGCAAATTGATTGATACTTCTCAATTTATATGTTAAACTACCGTGCATTTTTGGCCATTATCGAAGAATTTTAAAAATATGGGAAGATAAAAGTTGAAATATTGGCAGATTTTTGTAATTATACTGTGTATAATTACATAAATACATACTTGTCTTATTTAGCAGCAGTCCATTTTACCAAAGATAATGTTTTATTGTCAAATGACAATAATTTCATCTATAACTGCACTTTTTCATATACAAATATTTTGAATCAATATGTTCCCGCTCAATTCTGTATAACATGGTTCAACACTGATTTCAAGCAGCGGTTCGGGTCCCCTTGGAGCTGGTAGCTCGATAGGCCTTTTGAATGAACAACATGAGGTGTGTTAACATTGTGTTATTTTTCTAAATAACTGGCCGATCGGTTTGCTTAGAACTGATGCGTGAATCTTCCTTAAACATGTATCTACAAGTTGGTATACCGTGTATTGAGTGTCATTATCCCAGTAAACAGATATTAGGGTTCAAGTGAAAGGGTAATTTTGTACAGTCATATGGTTTGGGACTAGCAACGAGGTTGCTGCACTGTTTTACAAATATCTTATAAACGTGCTTGTCGATTTTTATAATTTATTAAGATTGGTTAGGTGAAACTACAGACTTTAATCGTGTATATGTGGTTTTCGTGGTCATAATCCCCAAATCAAGATATTTAAAAATGGCGTATACTCAATTTTCAACCCCTTGGTTCACCCATATTATAAAGTAAAGTTCAAATTCTAATGAATGTATGTATATAGGTAATAAGTTAATTTTTGCAATTCTGCATTTATATTCAATTGGCTTCGTGTTTAAAAGCATAAATTAGTGCAAATACCAAAGTTCAACGCTAAGTCAACGCCGCTAATTCGACGCACATAATTTTTCGATATACGAAATCATTTCAATTCGAGAAACCATCGATTTCTATTTTGAAATCGATGTTTATCGTGCATTCCTAATTCAGTTATATTGTAGTGTGTTAAGTAATATCTTCAATGTAGTCTTTTTTGTAAATTATATGAATAAATGGTGTGAATTTGCAGATAAGAAGCGTCATAATGGAAGAATATGCACGCGATCCATGTCCTTACCGAATTGTGGATGACTGTGGTGGTGCTTTCGCCATGGGTTGTATCGGAGGTGGTGTTTTCCAAGCAATTAAAGGTTTTCGAAACGCTCCATCAGGACTAAACAAGCGATTGGTATGCATATATATTAATTCAAAATCTACACAGTGTTAATACTTATTTAAGGCCATTTAATAAATTTCCTAAATTCTTACGAATGACCAGAAAGAAAGCTTACATGTTTATGTACATACATTGTGCAATGGGTCACTGATTACTTCCTGTAGACGAAATAATTGTTAGTAATATGAAAAAATTGTCTTATTTTGCCTACCAATATTATTTTTTGTGATATATTTGCTGGTGACAATCAAAGTTTAAGCCGATAACAAAAACGACATAAGAAACTGGCACATGCTTAGAACATCTTACTAGCCATAAGAGTTGTCGCAAACCCGGTGCAGTGTTTTACCACTAACCAAACAACATATAGACTGGAAATCAGTACAGGAAAGTAGGCACAAAAAGTATCGGTAGCATCTGGTCCAAAATCGCGAGTAAGGGTGTAAGATATACATATGATGTATTTTGACCCGCTTACTCTAGAGGAGAGTGCTTGGCGCACTCTGTTCCATATGATTTGTGTCTGCGAACGAGCTGACCATGGGCGCAAAAGAAAATATCATTATTGGCACGCGTCTGATGCGCGCCCTTCTTTTTTATGATCAGAAACCAGAAATCCCAAATCTTGTTATATTTGCATCGGGGACAGGCAGGCAGGCAAACAACAGACACACAAGCGCATAAATGATTCGATTCATATACAAAATATACAATATGCGTGAATAGCGAGGCCAAAATATTTTAAATGCACACATGGCAACGCTTGGGTACCCTTACCAACAAAAGCGAGCTAAAATGCAAGAATTTCGCATCGACGTGGCAAACCCTTTCTCTATTTCATATTACTTTGCCTATGGCTTTTGAAGGTTCGTTGTACTTTTGAGACAAACAAAAATGAAAGGTTGAAGATGTTATAGTTTGTCTAAATAACAAAAACATGTTGGATAACTCCATCAGCGTTTTGCCGATCTGGTGGTTATAATAAATCACCCGGATAATATCACTCACCAAACAAGATATAGACTTGACAACCAGTGTAATATGCTGGGGCCACGCGTTTGATATGCGGCTGGTCCCAAGTGGCCTTCGTTTTTATCGGGTTCGAGTCACGCCCGCACGCTCAGAAAGCAAGAGAGTAAAAAATATACAAAATATACATATACTCTTTATGTATATACAGAGAAATCGTTTTTGTGAAGGACTTGGCTACTGTATAATTGCAGCAAAGTCATTGACACCCCTGCCCAGAGTCCTGACTTAAACCCAATTGAAAATTTGCGGCTTTTCTAAAGAAGCGCGTAGGGAAACGGAGCCCAACTAATAAAAACGCTCTCATCAAGGCCATTCAAGAAGAATGGATAAAAATACCCGAAATCTATGACCTGAATAACCTTGTTCACTCAATGTTACGTCGTCTGCGGGCTGTAGTGGATGCTAATGGCCAATATACCAAATATTAGTACCACCATTGCCATAGTTTCCTATATTTAGTTATGTATATAGTAATATTTTACATTTTGCAAAGAATTAATTGACAGCGCAAAAATTGCCTCATTTTAGGTTTGTCTGTTTTTTTTTTTACATTTGCGTTTTGAATTTTGTTATGTTTGTGCCTTATATCTATGAAGAATACTTAGAATAATAATAATATGCAAAAAAAATTAAAAAGAAATAGTTTAATTCGGTCAAATATTAGTTTAAAAATTAATTTGTGTGCTGTTTTTCCGTTTGTAAACAATTACTTGACAAACTGTATGTATTTACATGCGCACTAAGTTGTTTTTGTTTTAATTTTTTTTTTCCTATTTTTCATTTTTATCGTTTTCTTAATGCGCGACAAGACAACAACAATTAAAAAGCGGTTGGTCATTCGAATGCATTCGAAACGGAACCTCTTATTCCAACGCATTCCCACTCATTCAATTTGTTTTCTTTCGTTTGAATGTTGTGCGTCCGAATTATACTTGACGGAATATATGACAGTTTATCAATTAAGAGCCTTGAAGATCTTAAATTTTTTTTAAATTCATACTATACACTTTTTGCAAAATCGTGCCCCTTGAATGATAAATGTGGGTCAAACGTTGAATAGGTGCAAGAAGTTTCAAGTCAAAACTCATTGGCAAAGGTCATTAAAAAAATTATTTGTGACATATATTACTCGACTCAGGCCGCTTCCCCAGTGAAAAATATGTGTCAAAGGTTGTCAGGACAACTTTTAAGTTTAGTCGGGAAATCGGTCCTCCTTAAATTCTGGACATAATATTCACAACTATGGAAAATGACGGATCGGTTTTAAGTTTAAATGAACAAAAGTTTATTTGCCGGCTCCAAGATTCTCATTAAAGGATGATAATAGATGAAAATCGTCGATGCCTATATTTAAAAGTTTAAGTTCACGATAATACGGACAGATTTTATTTGTTCAGTTAAGTTGAAAATTCAAAATTTCAAACCTGTTTGTGATTTGGGTGTTTTTTCCACGACCAAATGTAGATTAGAGTACAGTTTATTTATTTATCGATTGCCTGGTATACAGATTTCTAAACCTATTAGACTATTGAAAGAAGATGCCTTAGTGCTCTTTGGTGCAGTATAATTATTTTAACTTTTCCAAAATGTTTGTTCAAATTTTCAGGACTTGCTTAAAATTTTTTATGTATCCTCTTGATTTGTTCATTTCCGCGCGGTTCTCCGGCAGCTATTAGCTATGCATCTTGCAATATTCCAAGATTTTCAAACAGAACAGATTGGCTTTCTAAGCAATTTAATACTTTACCTGTGCTACGGTTCGGTTACCACACAAATTTAGAAAAACCTTCCATCACCACTAGGATGTGCTAATAGCGGTTAGCGCTGATAGCTCTTCGCGAAAGCTTTGATCGATAAGAAAAGTAAACAATTGCCTAACTCCCTTACCTGTTGTGGTCAGAAATTCATCTCTCTTCTTAGTACTAGAATTCATAATATTTCATTCTACAAAGCTTTGTAGATCGGGCCACCTTTTTCTATAAATCGGGAAAATTGTTTTCCTTACTAAGGTAATAAGTCTTTTATCTCATTAAAACCGACTAGGCATTTTCCTTCTCTTAGTTATAATGCCCTTTTTACTACGTACTCTAACACTGCCTGGCAGCTGTTGAAATTTGGCTGTCACATAGTTCAGTTGGTCTTTCTGTCTTATCGATTTCTAATTGTATGATTTCGATTACTATGTATGACTCACAGGTCTGTTCCGGTATATTCACTAAACCTAAGCACTAGTAAACAATGTGTAACGCATAAAGGAAGATATAAAGTATATATAATATATTCTAGATCAGCATCAACAGTCGAGATGATATAAGCGTGTCTCACCCCTTAGTTTAATAGCTGTCGTCTTGAAACTGCATGCGC